AATTCTCTTGGATGTAGTATTTAACAGTTTCTAATGGAATGGAATGTATTTTTTAATTAGTCATAGGTATCAATTTGTGGATGATTTAATGATTTGAGATTGCCAAAAACCTCAGAGTTTGAGGTTGGCAGGAGTTAGCAGCTGCCAGGATATAGGGGCGAAAGATGTTAGGAAAGAAAGGCAGAAGGTATAGAGGGCTTGCTTATGTCATGTGTCTGTAAGTGCCAGAAGGAAAATAAGAATAGCTTGGGATAGAGATCAGAAGTTGGACCCCAAAGTCAGGGAAAATTTATTTGGAAGGCAAGTGAATATTTGTAAAAGTTTCTAGTAAGGGAGGAGAGAACCAGTGGAGTGAGATACGGTATGAAGTAATCTTAGTATCTCCATTTAAGGTTTATTTTAAAGATATAAAGGCATAATTCACTTAGGCTGCAGATCCTCCCTGGATCCCAGACCCACTTATAATCATTAGACATTCATTCAGCAAGTATTTAATGAGTAGCTCCTGGACTGAGTGCTGGGGAGATGACTATAAACCATGTTGTTATGTGCCGTCGAGTTGGACCCAACTCATATCGACCCCTCCTTGGGTTTCCGAGGCAGTATCACTATGGGAGTAGATTGCCCCATCTTCCTTCCGAGGAGTGGCTGGTGGGTTTGAACCGCCAGCCTTCTGGTTAGCAGTGAAGTGCCTTAGGCACTACGCTACCAGAGCTCCCAAGAAACAAATAAAACATGATTTTTCCCAGGTTAATTAAATAAATATACTGTCAATGGAATAAAAAGTGTTTTCTTTAGCATTAAGAGTCGCCTTAGGAGCATTCATGCTGTCTCTGTCTTATGTCACTTTTGTGGAGCTAATTTTTTTTTTTTTTTAAACTAAGAGCATGGTTTTAGGAGTTGTTTGCCTCCTTTGTTTGATTTGCTGCTCCATAATTTACAAGTTATGTGTTCTTGAGCAAGTGATTTAAACTGCAGTTTTCACTCTGTAAATGAGCATAATAATTCCTATCTATGAGAGTTGTTGTAAGAATTAATTGGATAATAATCTACAGCATAGAACTTAGTACTTGGTAAATCATAAAGCCTCAATAAATATTAGCCACTGTGATGATTCTCCCACCCTGCTGCTTTGGGCATGACTGGATTCCCTGGAAAAGCTCAATATCTTCAGCCAAAACTAGGCCAGGAGCTGATTGTGGAACAGACCATCAACTGCTCATATGCAAGTTCAACTTGAAGTTAAAGACAAAACAAGTCCAAGAGAGCCATAATATGATCTTGAATATATCCCTCCTGAATTTAGAGACCATCTAAAGAATAGATTCAATGCATCAGATAGATTTGATGCATTGGACACCAGCGACTGAAAACCAGAATAATTGTGGGAGGATATCAAGAACATTATCTATGAAGAAAGCAAGAGATCACTAAAAAGACAAGAAAAGAAGAGAAGATCAAAATGGATGACACAAGAGACTCTGAAACTTGCCCTTGAGCAGAGAGTCGCTAAAGCAAATGGAAGAAATGACAAGATAAAAGAGCTGAACAGAAGATTTCAAAGAGCAGCTCAAGCAGACAAAACCAATTACTATAATGAAATGTGCAGAGACCTGGAGTTGGAAAACCAAAAGGGAAGAACACGCTCGGCATTTCTCAAGCTGAAAGAATCGAAGAAAAATTTAAGCCTCGAGTTGCAGTATTGAGAGATTCTATGGGCAAAATACTGAATGATGCAGGAAACATCAAGAGAAGATGGCAGGAATACCCAGTCACTGTACCAAAAAGAACTGGTCAACCTTCATCCATTTCAAGAAGTGGCATATGATCTAGAACCAATGGTACTGAAGGAGGAAGTCGAAGCTGCAATGAAAGAATTGACAAAGAACAAGGCTCCGGGAATTGATGGAATACCAATTGAGATATTTCAACAAACAGATGCCCCATTGGAGGCACTCACT